CAGGGCTGAAGAATCCAGGGGACAGCTGGTTGCACTGCGATGCAGGGGTGTTCCAGGTGGCCAAGACCTCTCCTAAACCCCAGCCCTCTGTACCACTACCGGCGTCGCAATTCCTGCTTGGCACTTTGGTGAAACGAGCCGTGATTTAAGGTCAAAAGAAAGGTGATCGGTGAGTTCCCTGCAAGCTTGCAATTCACTGGAAGGATTTATTTATCTTGTCAAGAATCGAGAAGCTAAAGGAAGGGCTCCAGCCACCCTGCCTCAGGTGCTCATCTTGCCTGACACTAGACAGCTGGAAATGATGGGGTTCAAAGCTCGTTACCTTTGGCTCCTTTGACAGTAGGTAGAACACAATAGGCATCTCCAGAGGATGATTTGTCTGCGCTATTCTTAGACACCTGCCTGGGGATGAGATGAATCAGCCTCTGCGCTGCATGTGTCTTCCCATGGGCACGAAGGGAGCGTTGGGTGACGCAGGCTCAGACTTGATAAGACAGAGCTTCGCATTTAAACTAATTCACCTACAAACTCTCACACAGGGACTCCCATGGGGCCAGCACAAACCCCAGTACGATAGAAACTGCTTCTCCCGTGTGACTTTGACTTCTCTGAAATTGTCTCCTCTGTGCTCAAACACTCAGTGAAAGACCCAAACTGAGCAGCGTGATTTAGCTTAAATCCAGGTGAATACTGAGCTTGACTTTTAATTCATTCCCTCTTCATTCTCCACCAGTCCTGCCATCTCCTTGAGCCTTAATGCCATGATGGCTTCAAAGCTCTTTCTGTGTGTGCATGCACATTAAGTATAATGTTTAAGTATTCTAAGTTTCCCTAAATCTTATTTCTAATACCCTTATACAAGAGCAGGGTTGGTTGAAATTGCCAGCAATATTATTTTGGTGGGTTGGGTGGGGACTGGGTGTTTCAAATATGATTGTACAGCTGGGAATTAAGCCTTTAAAAAGATGTTTAATAATTTTAAATGACTGAAACCTTGGTTAGAGGAGTTGGGGAATGAAACCTGAAATGCAAAGGGAGTGAAAAACTTCATAAGCCTCGAAAAAAAAAACAGATGCCAAGACCAAACAGACAGACCATGGTTTCTCCAAAAAAGGAGAAAAGAACCAATCCAGACGTTCAGTCAGTCGGAAGCTTGCAAAAATACAAATATTAAAACTAAACCAATAAAATCTGGAAAACTTGCTCTGAGGACAAAGAATGTCCCAACTCTCCCCCGTGGTTACGCCACGCAGCAGCAGGATATCCAAGCCTGTAGCTGCAGAGCTCCAGCTCCGCGCTGCCAGGCGTGCCCCAGCCTTCCCAGGGATGCCGCGCGCTGCGCCCAAGGCTGGTGAAAACGCAGGGAGCACTGAGCACCTGCAAATCACACAGAAAACAAAATGTCACTGATTTCGAGCAGCCGAGCCATGAGCACGCAGCAGCGGGTGCGATTCCCAGCAGCTTCCAAAGGCCATGGGCACCTGGCCCCGCGCATCCGGAGCCGCACAGCCCCTGCTGCGCTGGCTACGGAGATGCAGGCGTGTGCCCTGCACAGGTACAGGCACCGTGGGGGCTTGCCCAGCACGGGCACAAGCCCAGCTGCCATATGGCCAAGGGGCGGGAGAGAACGTGTTCTTGGCTTTGCTCAGCTTCGGCGTGTGCAACACGAGTGCTGACAAACAGGGAGGGGGCAATGGCTGAGAGGGGCTCTCAGGCTCCACGCGCGAGGCACGAGCAGGAAGGTTCATGGCGGCAGCAAGGAGTTTTGAGTCAAGCGAACCCACCGCTAATCCTCTTCTACAGAGTCTTTCTTGCGGGAGGAAATCTTATGACCCCGGGGAGAAGTATGTTGTGTAACTAAGCAATGGTGAATCCAAGCTGCATTTAACAGGGCTTGGCACAAACACGAGGGAGTAGGATACCCATCCCGAGAGAGCGTGAGAGAGACCAACCCCGTGCATCGCCTGCCGGCTTCGAGTCCTTAAAAGCCCTGGTGTGGCCTTGGGAGAGGAGCTCAAGTAGAGGGGGGTGGGAAAACAAAAAAAAAAGAGAAGCAAACAAAGACCCTTAACACTCAGGATCACTGTGCGGGGCTTCCCTGCGCTTGGTGTTGAAACATTGCACAATGTCCCTTCGCACAGCACAGAGCTTTGCAATCCGCAGGATCGAAGCCGTTTGGAGACACTATGGATGTGCCGAGACAAATTTAAAGGCGTTTTACAGCTGTAGCAAGAAGTGCAAAGCTCCATCGGGGCTCCTCTCGCTGTTGCACCGTGACATCTAGTGGCACCGCGCCGTGCTATGAGCAGCGGGGCCCCGGCGCCTGGCGCTCGGCCTCGTCCTGTGTCCTGAGCCGCTTCCCCCCATCGGTCCCAGATGTCACGCGTGACCTGGGAAAGGGCTGCTCTGCCGCTTTAGCCGGTTGGATTTTTCTAGATTTAACAAATCGGGATTTAAAGTTTTCACAGTGTGCAAGAGGGTGTTCCGCTTCAGCAGGTCTCCACATCTGTGTGCCGTGTCTTTGCTTTACACCTTTACGCCACAGATGCTGAAAACAGACAAAAAGGACCATGGGTTAAAAAGTGTGATCATTTAAGATGGCTTTTACTGAAAAAAGAAGCAAATTAAAAAGTTCTAGGTCCCAGCAGCGTCCAGTTGAAGGTTGGTCTTCCAGGTCTCTGAGGTCTGAATTTGCAGTTGTCGCTGGATAAATCTCGTTTGCAAACCGTTCTCTAAATCGAATTGTTTCTGGTACAGTGGTGGATCTCGCACAGTTGGCTGTGTCTTTCAGCACGAGCTGGGCAAAACTTTTGCTCATCCTGTTGCAGTGTGTTGCGTGAGACCACCGTGTGATCGGGTGTTAACGAAACGCCACCGAGTCACTGCGCAACCTTTGTCACGGCCGTTAGCGATGGCAGCGCTGCTTCTGCGCGTCCCTCCCGCGCTGCCGAGGGCTGCCGGGACGCCGGGCGCTCGCTCGGCGAAGCAGAAAGGTCCGGCCTGTGGGCCTGGGCCTGCCCAGCCGACTGACGGGAGGAGGATTGTTCCTCTCTGTGTTTTGAAGCTTCTCTTATGTGGGTGGATGTTGGGGAACTGCTTGGACAGTAAATGCTGCCAGCACAGCCTTCCCGTCACCGCCACAACTGCCGTCGCAGGAACAGGGCAGTCCGAAGTGATTGCCACCCAGGTCTTAAATTAGCTGGTCGGTTAAAAACAGCGTCACCAGTAAGGAAAGTAAGCAATAAAAGAGAGGCAATGAAAAAACCCCCAGCTTAGTGCAAATTCCTCGTTGGTGGCAGACACTGAGCCCAGGTCCGAAGTGATTGCCACCCAGGTCTTAAATTAGCTGGTCGGTTAAAAACAGCGTCACCAGTAAGGAAAGTAAGCAATAAAAGAGAGGCAATGAAAAAACCCCCAGCTTAGTGCAAATTCCTCGTTGGTGGCAGACACTGAGCCCAGCTGGAGTTGAAAAACACGCCTCAGTGCCTGACCCGAGAGCGTCACCGCGCGGCGGGGAGCCACGGGCGGGGACCGGGGGGTGCCCGGGGACGTGTGATTTTATGTTACCGTGTTTGTATTTCTGTGGTCTGTTG